TTCTGGAATGGAAGACATGAGGAAGGAGTATGGACATTTTTAGATGGTAGAAGGCTGAAGAACATCAGAAAATATGTATCCATTGCCCTCAAGAAAATTGGATGAAATCAGCTGCCAGGACAGAAGGACATATGGTTTATGAAGAGGCCTGGGGAGATTGGGAATTACCCTTAAAGACACAGGACCAGAGTTAATCAAGCTCAAGTGAAACACTGACAAGTAACCATTGACTAAAGGAACATAATATTTAAAATCCCTCATTGGAATCATTGTGCATTTATTTCACAGTTTGGTTTATGAGTTCAAATTTCACTCAGCAGTTAATTCAAAACTAAAGCAGTGTTTGTTTTCTTATAAAATCAAGCTTTAAGCTGAGGTCAAGTTCACAATGCCATTAACATGTTAAGGGAAATCTTGAAAGCATTATCTTGTATTTGTATAATTTCTACTTAGACTTTTTTTTTATAGTTGAATAATAAATTCTATTTATAGTTGTATAAAATACTGCCTATGTTGTCACAAACAGCATTTTTTAACTGAAAAGAACCGGGCCTGGTGGATATAACTTTTCCTATTTTACAGATAAGGAAACTGAGAATCAGAGAGGCAATTTCACAGTAGACAGAAGTATTATCACCCTATCCTGAGTGTACTGTTTGCTTAAACAGAATTTTCTATGATATCATCAATGTGTTTTAATTGTAGATCAAAGTTGAGCCACAAATTTAGTTTTTTTTTTTGTCAATTTTTTTTCTTTAAGAAACATAGATAAGATTATCCCAAAGATATTGAGGAAGAAAAAAGAGATTATTTTAATCAAAGGAAAATCCACATGAATATTATTTTTCTATTAGAAGCTGACTTTAGACATTATACCAATACCTTTCCTTCACTTAAGAACTCACCATGCTTTATTGAAAATACTTTAAGGAACACAATCAAAATAAAATAAAAAAATAATTCTTATCGAGATTCTAAATATAGTTAAGTAACTACCAATAAGTATTTGAAATAAACGTTAATCCTCATTTCTCTTATAGTTTTAAAATCTCATCTATATAGGCAGTACAAAGGCCAATCTAGATAGATGGTCAAGCTTTTCACTGAAATTTCAAAACAGCCCTAGAGTTTTTTTAAAAAGCCATTTGGAACTGTTGGTATATTTGGCAATATTAGAGTCAACCAAATAAATGGTGAATATACCAATATTTGTGAAGAAGTTAGGTTAGGAAGTCTTGGCAAAACACTGTCAATTGGATAAGAACTTATTAATCCTCCTAACAGTATGGAATCACCATCATTGAATCTATGAATCTGAACAGATCTATGTCTGTCAGCAGACAGGTACGCTTGACTGCAAACAAGAATATTTCCACGTATATACATTTTTAGCCCCAAGCCTTCATAATAGTTCAATAGACTTAAGAGCATAAATCTGTCTCCAGTGCCCAAAATAATGTATATGTCTCAAATTACATTATAGTGCAATAAATGTATCATTAATCATTAAACTAGGAAGGAATAAAAAAAAGTTTCAAAAATGTTCAACCATTGATTTTGGTATTCTGAATGCAAAAACACCATTCCTTTGCATCAGCAATAGTCCCAGACTTAATTAGAATTACAAAGATACATATAGATCATCTAGTCCAACTCCTTAATTTGAGAGACAAGAAAACTGGACCCAGGGAAGGGAAGTCTATCAAGATTCAGTTTAAGCAAAAGTAGAATTAAAACCCAGGTATCTGGATTCACAGTTTAGTGCACTTCCCAGAAGTAGCAGATATAAATAACCTCATGTAATTTCATCTGGCAAGCAAATTCAGAAGCTGAGTAGAACTTTTCAGATAGATGATAGATAGATAGATAGATTTTATCCTCACCAGAAGACATGCTTGCCTTTATCCTCAGATAGAGCAGGAGAGAAGGGGGAAAGAGAGAGAGAGAAACACCGACACAAGAGAGACACATTGAGTGGCTGCCACCCACAGGACCCCAACAGGGGCAGGGACAAACAACAACCGAGGTATGCTCCCCCAGCAGGAACCAAACCCGGACTCTCCGGTCCATGGGCCGAAGCTCCAATCACTGAGCCAAACTGGCCAGGGCAGAGGCTGAGTAGAACTTTAAGGATCATGCTGAGTTTGCTGTTTCATCATATTCGAAAGCACCTTCCATAACAAATGGATAATTAAATAATATAATCACAGGAAAATAATTATTTTAATTAATCAAATTATAAAAATTCTTCAAACCATATTATTCAAGATCTTCTCCAAGTAACAAATACATAAAATGTTTAGGCTCTTCCATTAGCTTTCTCAGAATCATTTGTACTGAAAACAGACAGCAGAAACAAGTGAAATAAAACAAACCACAACAAAAATGACAAAATAACTAAAAGTCTAATACTTTAAACTCTATGGCCTTCAATTCTAAACAAAGCAGTCAATATCGAGCACTAATTTGCATCCATCACCAATCAAAACAGCAAAATAAATCATTGTGAAAGCTCATTGGTTTATATCACTACCCTTATAGATATTAGCTTCCGGAAAAATCATTCCGAAGCTGAATCATCTGGATCATTTTTATTACTCACTCAGTCTTGAAACTGTCTGCACAGTACTGACTGAAATGTACTTCAGTGTGCACCTTCCTTCCAAATGAATATCTATGTCAGGTTTATTTATAGTAGCTGCCTTCAATCAGTGCATTTCCAGATATAAGAAATAAAATCATCTCAACAATACTCTCCTATATAGATCTAAACCAAAACCTGGAAATCTTGGCAAACAGCCTTTGAAAAGACAATGAAAGATCTATAATATAAAGTGTACATTAAGATTTATTAAAGATTCCAAAGCACATTCTCCTTATACTTTTTAATAAGCCTATATAAAGATCCTCAGTTACAACTAGGCAACTAATTTAAACCTTATACATCTTTTTGGGTATCTCTTTATAAACTCCAAGATTATTATCATCACCTATTGTATTTTCTTTTCCTGATTATGATTCTCTAAAATTTAGACATCTCTCTTTGTTTCTTACTTAGATGCTTTTCTCTGTGTTTAGGAGCTTTTCCTCCTAAGGCTTTACAAAAGCAGGACATACTTCCCCCTACTGGGAAAAAATTAAATTACAAGGAACATCTGAACATGTTCCTAAGTATCAAGAAATCAACTTCCTGGGAAAGATAAATGTTAAGGAATCAGGTGCATAGACTTGCCAAGGAATACTTTGCATTCTGTTAAGGGATTTTCACATGCATTTCCTTAGCCTGGTAGTTTTCAAAAGTACACTGACTAACTCTCATTAGTGAAAGATGAATTAATCATTGAGCCTTCTGTCCCAAAGAGAACACCCATGAGCAGGTCACTGAAAATGATCAATTTGTAATTGTGGTTTTTGTTTTTGTAGTTGTTTTTTTTTTTTTTTCCATTTTAAAGATAATATCAGCTAAATGAAGACACTTCTGCAAAACACATTGAAGTAAACAATTTTGAATGCTCAGTTGCATTTTTAATTATTTTGAATAATCCCAAGCATTTAATAGTCCATTAATTTTCAATACTCATTATTTTATGTACTTATCTTTGTATTTAATAAAGCAGATAGTTTACCTGTTTTAATTGACTTTACTTTTAAACTTTAATTTCTATTTTTTAAATTCAGTAACCAAGAAAGTAGTAAGCATAATTGCATTTTACCTTCCAAAATCATCTACAAAACCAACTTGTTTCTTGAGGAACAGTTTAGTTGTTTCACAAGTTCAATATTTTGATTACAAATATTTTCTTAATTGTTTAGTATTCAAAAATGAAAAAAAAACAACATTACATTATATTGTTATTACAAATAATAATCCAGCAATAAAATATTTAAATAAACCTAATGCCTATTTGAATCACACATGGAGGATCAGAATTTTTCCTTCCATGTACAACCAAGTCTCAAAAAATAGTTCTTTTAATGCTTAAGGAGTGAAGAAGACGAAGTTGTCACTTTCAGTTTTGCTATAGGTAAGTCCATAACAACCTCAGCTACAAAACTGCATTGTAGTCAATTTGATAATGAAGCACTTCATTATTAATGAAGCACTCATCAAAATAATCTGAAGTTGTTTTTTAAAAGGCATGTGTAGATTACTACAGATATTGCATCTTTAGCAGTAAGATGGCATTATTTCAAGATAAATTGAGTAATTTGGTTAATATTCTTATCATAAAGTTTATATGTGTGTTGTGTGTTTAGACAACCTTTCAAAGCCATGCAAAAGACAAGACATATATGTTCCTCTGGGAATGAAATCTCCTTTAGCATTACAGGTACACAAAAGAAAATGCACACTTGGTGAAGCAGTTGATCAATTGTGGAGTGTTTCCAGGGACCAGTAACTCGCAGAGTAAAGCAATTATCACACTTCAAATAAACTGATAACCACTTCAGCCTGTACCACATTCACAAACATAGAAGAACATGCATCGTACATGCATAGTTTAATCAGGGTCAATTCTAAGACTTTCCATAGGAAAGACTGTAATTAGACTAAAGGGTACCACCATCACTTCCCAAATGCAGCAAAAATAAAAATAAAAAAGAAATGAATGCTTACATGTAGCAAGAAGCTCTTAGAACATTATATTGATCACTATTTACTTCCAAACTGATTTCCCTCCCCTCTGCGAAGTGAAAATATCCCTGTAAACCGCGATACACTTTATGGTTTCTCTATCAATGATCCTAACAGGTCACATCACCACTGCCATCAGATCTCCTAGCTTTGCTCTTCCCCTAAATTAAGACATAGAGGAGAAGGAGCATTGCTGCCCGCCCAGAGAACAGGCTCCGTCCGCCGGAGCTCTGACAGGAGCATCTCCAGGCGGACAGTTTCTGCGAAGGAGACAGGCGTCTCTCCCCAACTTCACTCTCCTAACCAAGCCGCCGGTGAGATGGGCAGCTTATGATTTGTGCCCATCTGCGGGGATAAGTCCTACCTTCCGCCAAAAGGCGCGATGCATGCACAAAAGATGGATCCAGGCTATCTTTCTCTGCCATCAGCTCAGGCAAATATTTCTCCTCTTCCATAGCGCGGACTTCGGACAGTCCACCGGCGAAGCGCTGGGTTCCGCTCGCTCAGACGCAGGGTCGCCGGGCAGAGCCTGGCTCCCGCGCTGCTCCGCCTCCCGCGGCGAGGGGATCTCCGCGCGTCCTCACTGGCCCATGCACCGAGCACCTGCGACTCCCGCCGTCGGGCTGCGCAGCCCAGCGCCCACACCTGCCGGTCCCTTCCGTCGTCCCTCGCTCGCCGAGCCCCGCTCACCCGAGCAGCCTTAACTGGAGAGGCGGGAACAGGACGCGTCCCACCTCCGCCAACCAGTCATTGGTGGTGGTGCCATGAGAGGCGGGGCCCTCGCGAAGGCCGCAGGCCTTCATTGGGCCGCGCTCCATGTCGGATCGCCTGACTGGCAGTAGACAGCTGCAGAGGGGAGGGGAGCGCAGAAGGTGCAAGCGCTTTCTTCTTGCAGCTCAAGCCTTCCCTGGTTATTAGGCATGCCCAGTTATGTGGAGCCCTGGGTCTTCAGCTGAGGTTCTGAGAGGAAAGAGGGCGGGAAAAGCACCGGTGAAACAGAGGAGCTCGGGTCCAAGAAGGCAGGGAAGATGGGGATGAGGAGTGAGCGGCTGAAGGGCTGGAAAAGCACTAGGGAAAGTCTCCCGAAGGTAGATGGGACTTCACCTGCGTCCCTAAGGCACAGGTGTCTCCTCTCTTGAGGCTCAGACGCACTCCAATGTGCAGGAATCAGCGCGCATGAAGACTGCATGTGATCGGCGACTCGCGTTTCCAATGAGCCTGACCTACATCTCATCTCGGGGAAGCAGTAGGATATTCATTGATAAACAAATAAGGCTCCGGGGCGATATTGTTGTACAGCAACACACGCTTCTAGCATACAATCATTGGAGTATTGACTTAGTTCTGTTTTCTCTCCTATCCATCCTTCTTTCCCCATTTCCTATTTATGGGAGGGGTTCCAGGAGGGGGCTGGATTTTAAAACTAAAAAAACAACACAGTCAATTAGCCACATTTTGTGAAGGAATTGGGAAGATATGTAGAAGAGACTAGAAAATAGCTAACTATGGTTACTCTCATTTCACCCTTTGTCCTTATTTTAGATGTGACAGCCTCTTTCACCAGGTGCGGTTGCTGAGTTAGTTTGTATCCATCCCACTTCTATTTAAGGACAGTTAAATCCTCCAGGTATCACCATTGGGGCCTAAAAATGCAACTCGCATGCTCCAAATGTTATAAAACAGTTTTTTCCCTCCATCTCTTTTCATAAACAATCATTTTCCAATTTTTCCTCTCTCCCGCCTAAGAATAAGAACTAACTTTTCTACAAATAAAGCATGATGAAACTTTTCCAGGTTCTCTTACTGTATTCAATTTTTTCTTTATTTTTCAAGATAAAGTTGGGAGATTATCTTATATAACATTTTAAAAATTTAACATGACTTCACATTCATAATCTCAATTTTCACTGTGGAAAACATGGTGCAAGTATTACTTTAGCTGTTTTATAGGTATGGAAACTAAGGCAGGGACAGAGAAGGTCTATGACCCAAAAGTAATGAATATGACCTCTATTGGCACCAGCCATTGTCCCATCCAGAAGCTAAGTATATGCTACCATTGTACCAATATTAAGGGGATATATAACTAACAAATGTGATAAGACTGTTAAAAGTTCATGGAGTAAGCTGTGAGAACCATGACTCATTGATCCTTTTAAAGATTTGAAAACCTTTAAATGCTACCAATCTTCAAACAGCTAGCCAGGTAGCTATGGTAGTGGAGGGTGAATAAGAGAATAAGATGCCAACCACTGTTAATATATTGTAAACATTTGAAAAGAATACAAATTAGAAAAATTATTCTGTAATTGTAATCACATTTTGCTCTGCAGCATACCAAAAGATTAAAAGCATATGGAGCTGATGGAGGCACACACAAACCAAGTTTCATGAATCAAAAAGATGCAGTAATTCTTGTAATATCCAGCAAAGCAATTTCATTATCCATTCACAGTTCTCTTTTCCATGATTAAAGGTGCACTAAGAAGATATCATGGAGAGCAGTCCAAGGGTTAAATTTATTATACAATGTCTCTGGTTATCCAGGTTATTATAAGTATGGTAAGCCATCTGACTTTTATTTTCCCAGTTATCATCAAGAAAGAGTTATAATTTTATTTTCTCAGGTAAACTCGCAGTAAATACCTAAAATGCATTTTAACGGGGAAAATACATTTCCAAACAGGATATGGCAGAAAAAGGCAAACCCTCCAAGTGCCCTACACATACATTTATCCAACATCAGATACATGTGTTTTCAATAGATGACTTTACATTACCATGTTCTCAACTATTTCACATATAAATATTTTACAGGTACCACAATCATAGAGTGTATATTCTCAGAATAACCTTATCAATGCAAATATTGTATAAACATAAATGTAAATAAAATGAGAACCATTTATAGATGATTATTGAATAGAGAGTATCATATGTCTATACATGAATAAATTATAACTACTAGTAAGCCCACCTCTTCTTCTAATGGTGTAAATAACTTAACCATAATCACCACTTAATTGATTTGTATAGCCTAGATAAAGATTTATCTCATTTTATACATGAGTTCTAGTCCTGCAAGTTTTTAAATGGTATTCCATTTACTGCACTATTATTTCAACAATGGGTATTAAGGAAAATTTCACACCAACCAAATTTGGTTTTGAGTGATGAATAAGGCATACATTATAAAATATGTTCTTTAGGTAATGCACAAACTATGTATTCAATACTTTCAGAAACCCTTATTAGAAAAGCCAGGTGAAGGGGCATTTAATCAGGCTTATGTTTGCACACTAATAAAATATACCTAGTTGTATTATTAAATAAAACACACAGTTTCCATTTCAGAGTTCTCATCAACTTTAGGTATACCTCATTAAGCTGACTAGTTACTCCAAGGAGTCAGTAGAACCCAATTACAATAAGAACAATGAGTTAATAAAATTATAGCAGCCCAATAATTTATGAACCCCAAGGATTCAGTAGAACTCACAATAAGAACCATGGGTTAATAAAAGCAAAGCAGCCCAACCATTTATATTAAGCTTTCTAATGTCTTGGTTCCTGGGACACAGTATAATAGAGAACTAAAATACTGAATGACTGATTTTCATCTACTGAAGAGCCTGGCAGAGCCCATTACATAGAAGGTACTGTTTTAATATTTCCATTTATTTTAGTTTTACTAACTAAACTAGTGAAATCAGTTTCAGTTTTTTTCTTATAACTTCCATGATATATTTTAGGGTTGCAATTAGAAAATAGGTAATGGGAACTTAGCTGTGCAGAAACCAATAGCAGCAATAGCAAGTGCAGTGAAAAATCTCTCATAGGTAATGTGTTCAGAGCCAAAATTTATGCTATATGTTAATATGCCACAGCACAAAATGAATATTCATCGCTCAAAGCTGGTCTATATATACACAGGGAAAAAAAGTGTTTACTGATTGGAAAACTTTAGAATTATCATATTGAATTTTAGCAGCTACAAATGTAAGAACAGCAGATGAGAGCGCGGAAGGACTGGTGTTGTTGAGAGCCTACTATTGTGTTAGGGATAGTTCCATTCTAAATCTTCACAAATGTAAAGAAGGAAGGCCAATAAAGAAGCTGATATTAATTATAAAGTGGCCTAACAACTCAAATACAGCATTTCTGATGTTGAAATTATCTCTGTTTGGAAAACTGACAAAGTTCATCTTGTTATGTGTCTCTTTGGACACATTTTGGTTGACATTGATAGAAGCCGAGGAGTAGTTACTGCATTATAGAAAAGTGGAATGAAGCTATTGTTTCAAGGTGAAAGTTATTGACTGTCTTTTTCAAATTAAATCCTTGAATTGTTGAATTGAAGTTCACATATTGATTATTTCTAGAGATCAATATATTAAGGTAAGATATCACATCAGTAAAATAGGATGTTTATATACATAGCAAATGAAGATCTGAGATCTGTTGTAGTCAGTATAAAATAAATAGATGAAGACTAAGAGATCATTTAATACAAGTGATCTTCAAGTACACTACAATTTTGTCATGGAGGCAGATGGATAAGCAATTGTTTTATATCACTAAAATAAGTTAATAAAGAGTAGATTAAATTTCAGTGGGATTATTTTTTTTTAAAGCACACTCTGAAAGTGATTAGTTAATATTGAAGCAGTATTTTAAGAAAATAGCACCCCATTTAAGGATTTAAAATAATGCAGATACTTGTTGATATAATTTTTTTATTATTCTGGTCTCTCACATTAAATGACATTGCCATTGCAGAAAACCATTATTAAGAAAGATTTCTGTATAAAATAGTTATCACAAAGTGATACAAGCCATTTGAAGAGAATGCTAATAGAATTAGAAAACACAGTCCCAGAGACAAGATTTTATCAGCTCAACAGAGGAGAAAGAGCAAAATAAAAAATCAAAGACAGACATGTAAGATATTGACTATCATGACCATCCAACTAGTATCATGTAAATGATCTCAATATTTGACAACTAAAAATAAAGTATAACCCTAGATTGAATCTTGACTCAGATATAACAAATGTGGTAAAATAGTAACATTTGGGTAAATTGGATGAAATATATTGGAATATTCTCTACTGCTTAGGCAAATTTTATGTAAATCTGAAATTACTTAAAAATAAAAAATGTAAGTCTAGATATTGCCAAAAATAACCTCAAAGTATCTTACCTGTTTAGTAGCTAGCCACAGAGAGCACAAGCCCACGTTTCCATCATGTTATTGTAGCATGCACTGAATTCATGAATTTGGCCACAAATTACCAAATATTTGTAATTAATGACTTTAGAAATCTCACTAAAACCCAAACATATATGTGTGAATTACTTACTTATTATGTTTTCAAAAATATAATAAAAATAATTATTTTGCTTCAGTTATTTCCATTAAAATAGTATTTGCAAACATCTACTACAAATGTAGCCATTTAAAAAATATTTAAATGAATGATAGGCATAAAAATAACTTATTTTGAATAGATACTAGAAATAACTGTATTTCTATTTCAATGATATGAAAAGAAAATGAGAAGTAACTCTTTCGAGTTCATGCTTCTTGTACATGATCTTGGATTTTGAGTATGTCACAATATCTCTGCATGAATAGTTTTACCCTGTGTCTTCTAAATACTTTTTCCAGTTTATTGGACATCATAAGCAAAGTGTAAGCTTAATTATATTATAATGTGATCTGCA